ACACATCGATTAACCGGTGGGAAAATTTCCTCACCGTCACAACCCTACTCGAAAGTGATATCAACAAGTTTTTTTTTTTTTAAATGTAGGATTTTTTTTTTCCGCTGCCAAACGCTGCACGCCGGAGATCCGGCACGGTGCCGGAGAACTTTAAGCCCAGTAAATATGAACATTATTTACTCTTCTTACTGCACAAAAACAGATTCAGTATTCCTCAAAATGAATAAAAACAGTCAAATGCAAACTCAGAATATTATATAAATCTGCAATAATTAAATAGGTTAAATAAACTGGTTTAAAATGGCTGCCCACTGCTCCGGGTGTGTGTTCACAGTGTGTGTGTGTTCACTGCTGTGTGTGTGCACTTTGGATAGGATAAATGCAGAGCACTAATTCAGAGTATGGGTCACCATACTTGGCCACATGTCACGTCACTTTCACTTTCACTAAGACAAATATAATTAATGTATTTAATCCCATTTTATTAACCAATGTCTTTGCTACTGACCTTCGATGATCTAATTCAACCATACTAACAAGCAAAAATGACACATTTGTGTTTAATTTTTGTTATTGTGGAATAGTGATGAACTTTCTTCTCCTGCGTCATATTCTTCATGCAATTTGTTTGAGCTGTGCCCTCTACTGTACAGACGTGAATTTGCATTTCCTTCAGCCTGAGGCATATTAATTTCACTTCTGTTGTGAAAAGGGCTTTTACATTTGTAAAAGAAGAACTTTTGTATATTAAAAACTAACAAGCAAGCCCTGCCCAGATTTAAAAAGTAACTCAAAAGTAACGTAACACATTACTTTCCATAAAAAGTAACCAAGTAATGTAATTAGTTACTTTTTTAGGGAGTAACGCAATATTGTAATGCATTACTTTTAAAAGTAACTTTCCCCAACACTGATTATGACAATAAAGTCAGAATTAGAAGATTACATAATTGCAAATCTTAATTGTAATATTACAAGATTAATGTAGTAGTAATTTGAAAGTCTAAATTACAATAAAGTCATGAAGTGAAAGTATATTTTGTAAAATCAGTTATAATAATGAAGCCGCAATATTACAAAATTAAACTAGTAATATTTTAAAAAGTCAAAATAACAACAGAGATAAAAATCATAACATTTTGTGAACTGACAATAAAGTCATAACATTACAAGTGATAATATATAGAAAAAAGGCAAAATTACAATAAAGTCATCACGAGATGAAAGTAGTAAATATTCAAAAAAGAGTGTGACAATGAAATGAAAATGAAAAAGTCGTAATTTTAATAAAATATAAATTAAAAAGTACTCACATTTCAAGATTGAAGTCATTATTTCGATAATCTTCTAAAACGATTAACATGGCCATATTTCGCTTGGCATAAACACTTTTTTAATGGCACTAAAACGTTGTAAAAGGATAACTGAATCAGAACATTTCACAAGTCTCAAACCTGCACCATCCGCATGAGCATCCCGACATGTACAGTAACCACTACACCACAGCGACAACTGTACGGTTCTTTTATGTCCCACTGTGGAAGAACTTGATGACCTTGTGAAAACACATGAGTGGAGATTTTCCTCATGTATTGCATACATGCACTCGTGCGTCGCGGGAGCACTTCTGTGCACGTGGGACGGTTTTGTTGTCTATGTGATCAGTGAAAGAGAGAGATCCGTCTAAATAACAATACAGCAGCAGAAGGCATGTCTTTTTTCATATTTCTCCACCTTTACTCCCTGCTGGGAGAGGCAGCCTTTACAAGCACACACGCGACATGTGTACACGTCTCGCAATCATGGTGAAATTGGATTGAGCGATTGCACTGCCCGTCAAACAAGCTAACAACGGCATTGTGCCTCTCAGAAAGAGGAACGAGGCTTCACGCTCTCCTGTGAGATGACGGATGAGTTTGCGCATCTGTGTATGTGAGAGATGGACTCGACTAAAAATGTGTTTTGATTCATTCTAATGGATGATTTCGCAGACCATGGAAGTAGAAAAAGGCTTTTGCTGATGCAACTGTCAGGTCGCCGTTAGGGAGCAGAAACTGAATGTGCAACCATATCCTATTTCAGTTAAAGGGATAGTTCATCCAAAAACAAAAAGATCATGAGACGGCCATGAACCAATGATGTTTGACGGGCCAGATATGAGCATGCAGAGGATCATTTTCACCAAATAATGACTGATAACCTTGCAAATTTGTTCTGTAGAGGTGATTGCGGAAAGCATTTGATGAGTTAGTCTTTGTAAAACGCCTTGAAATAGCAGTTATACCTTCTCCAGATGAGCAGTCCAACTCCAAGAGTCAGTAACATGATGAGAGCAGCCACCGAAACCACCACGATGATCACCACAGGACTCTGTTCACTAGAGGCCAGGGCCACTGCACAACAAACACACACAAAGACAAACAAAAGATTTGGTTAGTATTCACGATGGCACAAGCCATTATCAGTGCTCTAAAAGCACTGGAGCTTGACAAGAAGATTGATATTTGAAGTCTTCCCTTATTTATTTTGATAGGATCCTAATGGGAATACATTTTTGTGAGTTAAAAAAGTTACGACTTTCCTCCAAATGGTCCCACTCCATCCATGGACGCAGAGGAACTACTTTCAGTTACGCAAAAACACTTTAGGTCTCAAATTGAAAGATGACCCCTGGTAAAGCAGCTGTTTATTGGTAAATAATGGAGAAAAACCCTTTTACGAGTCATTTATTTAGAATTCAAACAGTGATGGGACATTTAACAAAGGTAAACTTATTTGCACTCCTTTTTCTGTGAAATTCAATTATCATTGAAACTCAAGAAGTGAAATATCAGCCTCACCAGTGGAGGACATCAGAACAGCAGCGAATGCACACACAAGATTACTGTAAGTCTATAAATTGTGAGGAAAGATGTTTTAGAGTATTACTGAATTATTCAGTTCTGTGTTTGCATTTTGTGAATGTGAGCACTTTAAATGTATATGCAATATAATTTATGTTTACAGTACAATTCAAAAGTTTAGGGTCTGTAAAGTTTTTTTAGTCACTTATGCTCACCAAGGTGGCATTTATTTGATAAAAAATATAATAAAAACACTAACACTGGGAATTATTATTACAATTTAAAATAGCTTTTATTCTATTTGAATCTATTTTACAATGCAACATATTTCTGTGATGGCAAAGCTGAATTTTATAGCAGCCATAACTCAGTGTCACATGATCCTTCAGAAATCATTCTAATATACTGATTTGCTGGTCAAAAATATTTTTTTTTTTACTATGAATGTTGAAATTAGTTGTGCTGCTTAATATTTTTGTGGTAACGGTGATATCACATTTTGTCATGATGATGAAAAGTAAAAAAAAAAATCTCTTCTAACAATGTAAGCATCTTTACTGTCACGTTTAATATGTTTAATGCATCCTTGCTAAATAAAAGTAATAAATTCTTTAAAAATCTTACTGACCTTAAACTCTTGAATGGCATTGTATATATATTTAATTTTTTATTTATTTTATGCTATAAATATCAATCACAAAGGCTTATTATTCAGTCTTCTTTCCTGAATATGTTAATATATCCTAACTATAAAAATGAGTACTAAAAATTGAAATTCACAATAAAATATTGTATGACTGACAGTCCTAATCATAACTTTGATGTCGCAATGAAGGGTAATAAAGTGAATATAATGTAATTAATATCATATAATATATTAATATCATTTTTAAATATAATTTTAAATAATTTGACCACGAGGTCCTTTCGGAAAAACAAACATTCTCCATCTTTAAGTGTTAACAAAGGCTTAAAAATGTTTTTTTTTGAGGGCTGAGAAGTGAAACATTTTCTACTATCCGATTTAATCAACCATTTTGAACCTAGTGGAGCACTTCACATTTGAGAAAAAACCCCAAGCTGTTAGGAGCAAAAGCACAGTGGAGCGATACCAGACAGGATCTGGAATGAGACTCATCCAGTCCAAATGGTTTGCAAACCAGGCATCAAACATGGCAGCTTTGTTCTGCATAATCTAAAGCTGCGCAAATACTTGTTTGTGTGCTACAATAAAGGAGCCTGACGAGGTCACATGTGAAAGTCCTTCTAAAGTGTTCATTCAATATGAATGTGTCCTCTTAAATTAAAGATGACAGCAAGCATTTGCACTTTAAAGTCATTGTTTCACTGTAAAGCCAACATATTTTGTGTACTAACATGAAATAAAAAATAAAAAAAAAGTTTACAAAATTTTTTGAGGGGCTGCTCATATTGCTCCTAAAATAACAGCACCACACATTCCTTTCACATACACTGTTTCTTCTAAAACAAAGAGACACTCACGTTCCCCCAGCGTCTGCAGCTCCAGCGGTGCGCTGTACGCCCCGTAGTCGAGTGGAGGGGGCGACACAGCTGCCACGGGGCTGGAAGAGGAAGAGGAAGCAGACAGGGAAGATGGAGACAAAGAGGAGGAGGAGGAGGAAGAAAGAGGAGAGGAAGAAAGAGAAGAAAGTGCTGGGCTGGAGCAGGTGCGGATGAGGACGACATAGGTGGTGCCTGGTTTCAGGTTGTTGACGCTGATTCTGGTGGCGGCCGTCTTCACCGTGGAATAGCTCTGATCTTTCTGATCCTGAAGGAACACAGAAATATGTCCATAAAATAACTATGGAAGTCTATGGAAGTAAATGACAGTGATGGAGATGATATTTCTGAAACATTTCATGAACATTTCTGGAATAGTATTTTGTCTTCAGTGTCACACGATCCTTCAGAGATTATTCTAATGTGCTGATTTGGCTCTCAAGAAACATTTCTTATTATTAACAATGAGGAAAAGAGTTGTGCTGCTTAATATTTTTGTGGTGATGTGGTTTTTAAGCATTCTTTGATCAATAGAAAGGTCAAAAGAACAATATTAATATTACAAATGCCTTTACTGTCATCCTTGAAATGTATTCATTCAAAAAAATAAAATAAATAAATAAATAATAAAATTGATTGGTTGTGCCAGAAATTATGCCACAGGTAAAAATTTAATTTGCATTAAAAAATATATAATATAACATAATATAATATAATATAATATAATATAATATAATATAATATAATTAAAAAATAATAAAATAAAAATCATAATAAAAATAATGAAACGTGCTTATATGCACAACAAAACATAAGCCATTAAAAGTTAACTCATTGCAAAAACTTGCTTTAAGGGTTTACTTGCAAATGAATAAAAATGAAAAAACAAGACTCCCCAAATTAACATAAGATAAAATGATCATTGACAAGGTCTTGACATCAGCTGTTATACAGTCAGACATGTTTGCATTGATTTTCCCTGATTTCTCTTTCCCGGATAAAAAACTGACCAAACAAACACTCAAGTCATTTACATTACATGTTATCTGTTATGATCTATAATCTGTGGAAGATTTTGAATGTGAACGCACTCAGTGTTCATAAGAAATGTATTATTGCGCAAGAGAGATACGTTTTTTTCCCTCAATCCTGGCAGGAGACATCAATGTCTGGCAGCTACATGTTTTAAAGTAGCTACTGCATCTGACTGAATGATCAATGAGCTACAGGCCTGTGGGAAGCTGCTGTTTAGTGTGGCTGTACACACATGCAGGTTAATAACAGCTGCAGTGCTTTAGTGGAGAGGACCGAGGATGTAACCATACCTTCTCATAGTATTTGATCTCGTATTCAGTGCGGCTGCTGTTGGGATACACGGCGGGTTCCCTCCAAACCAGAGTCACACTGCGCTGCTCAACCTTCTCCGCTCGCAGCTCGTTAACCTGGGAAGGCGCTAAAGAGACAGACAGAGAGCGAAAACTTTAAATAATTAAAAGAAAACTGTGAGATGAAGTGTGTAACAGATTGGTGATGATAACTGTCTGAACATGCTGATAAAGATTTGATTAAGACGTTCGCCTGCTGTCAGAATAATGTCAAATCCATCCACTGTGTGTTCAGTTCTGGTTAGACAAACTCCAAGATACAACCGGCACAAATTCAACACTTTAGGAACAGTACTCAACATTCATGAGCAAACACTTTGCAAATATTTAAAAATCCTTAATACAAGACACACTTACTTGAAAAGTGAAACAACATAAAATAATAAGATTTTTTTATGTGTTTAAAATTATGTTTACAGAACATTCTTAATTCCACTGTCAATATCCATTAATTTAATTTGATCAAATCTAGCAAAAAATTGTGAGGGTTGTGCTAAAAACAAGAATTTTTCTGTTGCAAAACTGGCAACTCTGAAAACAACTCTTAATAGCTTATGAGTTTTGCTTTTCATTTAGATATTCGTGTTAGAAAACAACATAATACTGATGAAAACAATGATTCTTGTAGTGTAAATCTGACACAACCTTCCTTTATATTCTCAAAGGTAAAATTGATTAATGTATAAGTAAATATTACTGTATAAATAATATAAAAAAATAACATATGTAAGTTAGTTTTCTTGTAGGGGCACAATAAGGATTAATCTATTTTAATCATAAAAAAATAAAAAAGCTCATGGAATGAAATATAATGTACATAATACAACATAATGGTACTCTCTCAAGACAGCTACCTAAAAAAGAAACATTAGCTGTGTCAGAAATCACATACTTTCCGAGTAGGTAACCCATTTGAATAAATATTTATTTTGGGACTGTTGAATGTAATCCGGACATACAGTAATACATCCACCATGTTGTTATTGTCATGTGACCTACAACTTGCATCGTTTAACCACCATTTATGAATCCAATCCCGTAGCTTTATGGGACAGTAAACTATCTTTTGTATATGTATTCAGAATCTCGCCAAAAGTAATAGGTCATTTTGCCTGTTTTATGAAATTTGGGCATACTACACTTAGGCCTGGGTGATAAAACGGTATCGATATTTATCGACGGTACACCTTCTTCCATAACGATAGAAAAAATGATCGATATAGTGCACGATATAAGCACGTGCTATGAGTGACGCAGACAGCACACACAAACACGACCACATGCTGAAATGAGTGCTGTGCCTGCCTGTGATGAGGAGATTGTGAATAAAAAATTAATATTAGTCGAATTTAAAATAAACATTTGCATTTGAATGTTAGGTGAGAAACTGTGTAGTTTCTGTTACTAACTGAGACTTGTCATGGCACTTGTATACTGTTGTTCTCTCGTTAAAAAAAATTTCTATTGCTTTTTGTTTTAAAAAAGGTTATAAAAAAATTTCAATAATTATCAATACCGAACGATATGAAACATTATATTGATACATTTTTTAGCTATATAGCCCAGCCCTAACTACACTTTTCACATGCTGTTTTTCACCTACTATAAACTGCAAGACTATTTCATGTCCTGAATGTAAGAGACTGATTTAGATGGGCGAGTGCGAATGCGTCTCCTGCCGTTCTGATTAAGAGATGATTAACGACGACAGAACAGCTGAAAGCTGCCACTCAAAATCCCCCAGCGAGGACTGACAGCTCCATCACGTCAAAAACAAGCATCAGACAAATAAGACTCTCATACATCAACCAAGAACCAAAACAAACCTTATTTTTCATGTAATGCTTGCTTTTCTTTCTTCACATGCAGTAGCACATGCTAACAAAAACACTCACACAGTTTCCATCACGCCGTCTTTATATCATGATTCAAAATGAGTGTAATTTGTGGTGCTGATCAAAGACAGTACTTGTCCTCTTCATGTGTCTGACAAAGGGATGAGGGTTATTGTCATTCAGGCTGTTCTTTCGGCCTGCTACTCCAGACATCCCACGAGACACTGGCATGGAATAAAACTAAGATATCTCAGTAAAAATCCTTTGATCTCAGACAAAGTGACAGCTACACTGCTCATTAAAGATCACGGACAACTGTACTGTGACATGTTGTGTGAGACGGCTGACAGCTTTATGACTACACTGTGTACAGACGATTCAATCCTGACCAGATGTGTGACCTCTTTTTCATTCTATTTTTGGCCTTTATGCCACTTTTATTGACAGGTGTAGTGTAGAGATGACAGGAAATGATGGCGAATGGAGGGAAATGACAAAAAACAAACCTGAACTCACATTAGACACATAACCAGCACAATTCAGCGTGTATGTGGTAACACAGGCTACGGCAAGGTAGACGGGCCACAAAGAGAATATGAATGGAGGATTTTTCAACACTCAATAAGGCAGTTTTAGGAAAGCAAATCACACTCTTAAACAAAAAGAGCTAGTTATCAAGTTTTTTTTTTTTTTGTGTGTGTGTGTGTGTGTGTGTAGTATGTGCATTCACAATAGCTTTAAGAATAGCTTTATGAACAATTATTATTTCTATTTACTTATTTTGTATAATAGTGTTAAACTTTCATATCTTTTATATAAAAATGATTTAAAAACAAACTAATTAAAACTACAGAAATCTACATAATACACAATACATAATAAAACTACAAATTATATCAGCATTACAATTTAAATTAAACAAAACCCTGAAGTTTCAATTACAGAATTTTGTAGTATTTTGTGTTTTTTAAACGGGGTTCTAGTGACTAGATTAGGAATTTTAAAAAAGGTCACACCAGTACTTAGTTACAGTAATTTATAGCCAAAGAAAAATAAAATAATTAAATTAAATTAAATTCCAGGAATAGAAATCCTACTTCACAAGTTTGTGTAAACATGATGTACAATTGTACAAATGCTGGAGAACATGATCATCAGGTGAGATGCTCTTGGCTCCATTGAAGCATAAAACGCTTTCTGGAGTTCACAAGGTCAAATTTGCTTATATTATTGGTAGCCTAGAAATTTCCTTAAACTTTCCCAGATTTTTTTACATGGTCTCACACTTCTGGACCCCACAACAAGTTATGTGTGGAGAAAAAACTAGCAAAAAAAACTAGCAAAAAAACACCTAATTCACTAATAAATGGATGTATAATCTCAAGAGGGATGAGAGGCACAACATAACAGTTTGTGGGTTATACTGGGTGTAAGAGAAGCTTCTCTCCCTCTCCATTTCTACTCCAGGCTGTTGTTTCTTACCCACCATAATGAATAATGTATAAAGAGCTCCAAACTGCTGCTCTGCCTCCCACTCCAACTCTGAAAAAATGCACTTACAAACATAGTTAACACCACCCTGCACAACACACACACACACACACAGATACACTCACAACTGATTGCTGGCAGTCTGACCCCATCTAAGTGGGAGGAAATGAGAAAGGAGATGAATTGCTTTGAGTGTAACTCCATCACTGCAGGCGCCAAACTGAAGGTTACAATGTTCTGAATCGGACAGCGATATTGAACTGACCTCTGTAAGACAGGTTAGGGTGTTACGCTACAGGTTAACCTTTCAAACACACACATAAACACACATACATATGCATTCACAGCATACACAAACACTCTATTAGGTAAATGTGAACATGACATCTTTAAACCCCGATCAATGCACTACAAAAAAGGTTTTCATATATTTGCCACAGTGATGTTACTGTTAACTGAAACTAAAAAATGTAAAAAAAAAATTGCTAATTGAAATAAAGTTGAAATAAAAATATAAAATAAATATAAATAATACAAATATTAAATAAAACATTGCCTTGGCAAATAGCTAATAAAATTTAAGTTGAAGTACTAAAATTATATATAAAATAACCGCCAATGAGTTTATGGAAATGGCATTTTAAACATTTCTGGATTAATTTTGCTGATTCATTTGTTTTGCTAAGACTTAAAAACTAGCATTTTATGCATGCTAAATACACAAAATTATAAAAATTAATTTATGTATTTTAGATTTTTAAATTAAATTTTCTAATTTATCAGTTCTATGTATAACTGATATTAAATATTATTTTTTCATTGCACTTGTTTCTATGTCTAACTTAATCTTAAAAGCAAAATTGTTGGTATAAATAAAAAATAGAAATATAAAAAATTGTTAATTTAATAAATAATTAAATAATTTTAATAATTAATTATTTAAAAACATATTAATTGTTAAAAATTTAAATGAAAAATATATATATATATATATATACTATAAAAGTACATAACACTAAAATAACACTGACTTGCCAATGGAAAACACATATTAATTTGATATCCAACATTCTGATAAAGAAAATCATCTTTGCAGCATGCCAGTGGTCACAAGAGTAAAGGAGGAACTGGATTTCTTGAGCAGTCTGTATTGCCCTCTAGACAGAGCCAACATGGCTTTTTTTGCAGTGGCAGAGCCACAGATTCTTTCAGCAGGGGCGTTTTGGAAACTCCGTTTGGCACGGAGCAGTGTGCTATCAGAGCGTGCAGGCAAGCACACGTCACTCCCTCAGGACATCTTCCTGTGAATAAATGCGTAAGTCTCTCTCTCATCCTCAGTCGTCTCATTACTGTCTGGAGAATTCCTTCTATTGGCTCTGCAGTCTTTGGCTCGCGCCACTGCAGCGACTACATCCGGCTAATCGTGGTGCTTCTGTTAAATACTTACAGTATCATCCACTTAAAGGACTGTTGTGTGTGAAAGAGTAGAACGGGTGCAAATAACAAAAAAAATTCAGAGTGTGTTTTCTTTCAATACAGCCAGTTAGCAATGTTTTTGACAACTGGCAGTGAAACGCTGCTGACTGTAGAGAGAGAGAAATACAGGGTTGCAATAGTCTGGCAGGGTGAAATGAGATCTTGCCCTCAGCAATGGCAGTGGGGAACGTGACCAAATAGTCAAGTCATGCATGATAACACACAAACATAGACACGTACGCCACTGCTATATCACTGCAGTCTCG